ATAAAAGGGAAACATGGTAATTAGCTGTAACTTCGCTACCCTTCCATTGGCTAATCAGCGAGATATGCAAATTAACTGCCAACCAAGATGGCGGCCGGCAGCCAGGCCGCTGACGCACACATGGAGGCTTGCTTGCTCCAGTGACGGAGGAAGTCAAGGTTCCCTGCCTGCCTGCTGGGCTCTGAGCTGCTCTCTAAGAAACATTGTTACAAATATAGAAGCTAAACATAACCCAGAAACCTGCTTTCAGCCGGCCGGGATCTCAGATCTGGAGTCGCAACAAAGTTTCAAATATAGAAGGTAAACAAAGTCCAGAAACCTGCTTTCAGCAGCCGAGGTCTCAGAGCTGGAGCTGAGCCTCAGAGCTAAAGACGGCTCTCAGCTCCAGTGACAGCCATAGAAGGTAAATAAAATCCCAGAATAAAAAGAAAAAAGAAATAAAGGAGAGGTTGGGAGCTTCAGTCACCCACCAGCCTGAAAACGGCCCTCAGCCTCTCACCCAGACTGGCCAGGCACCCCAGTGGGGACCCCCACCCTGAAGGGGGTGTGACCAGCTGCAAACAACCATCATCCCCTCATCCAGGCTGGCCAGGCACCCAAGTGGGACTCCCCATCCTGATCCAGGACACCCCTCAGGGCAAACCAGCCGGCCCCCACCCATGCACCAGGCCTCTATCCTATATAGTAAAATGGTAATACGCCTCCCAGCACTGGGATCAGCGGAGCTGTGAGGCCTCCGGGCCCCTGGAGCAGCGTGACAGAGGGCAGCGCCCAAACCCCCTGATCGGCCTGTGGCTCTGTGTGTGACAGAGGGCGGGGTCACAACCTCCCTATCTGCCCTGCTCTGTTCGTGACAGGGGAAGGCGCCCCAACCCCCTGATCGGCCCTGCTCTGTGCCTGATAGGGGGGAGCTCCCCACCCCCCTGATCGGCCCTGCTCTGTGTGTGACAGGGTGGAGCCGCAACCTCCCCATCGGCCCTGCCTTGAGTGTGATGGGGGTGGCGCCCCAACCCCCAATTGGCCCTACCCTGAGTGTGACTTAGGGTGGCATCACAACTTCCTGATCTGCCCTGCTCTGTGCATGGCAGGGGGATCTCCCCAAACCCCTGATTGGCCCTGCTCTGTGGGTGACAGGGGGGGAGCTCTCCAACCCCCTGATCGACCCTGCTCTGTGTGTGACAGTGTACGGAGCCCCAACCCCCCTGATGGGCCCTGCTCTGTGAGTGACAGGGGGCAGCACCCCAAACCCCTGATGGGCCGGCTCTGTATATGACAAGGGTGGTGCTGCAACCCCCTGATTGGCCCTGCTCTGTGCGTGACAGAGGGCATCGCATCCACCCCCCTGATGGGCCCTGCTCTGTGCGTGACAGGGGGTGGCGCCGCAACCTCCCCA